AAATGATGGGAGTTAAAGTCCATCACATCTTGAACTAAGACAACTAAGAGACATCACAAAGCCCCCCATGTTGTCTAATAAGAGTCTCAGTAGATGAAGCTAAGACAGAAAGCCACAATCAGCCAATCAACTTGTAGGCCAAGGCAGGATTTGAACCTCTATTTCCTAGGTTGACATGGCCGCAACTCCAAAGTAAAGATACTTAACTTGAAATGGATTGATTAATTTAATCAAACCCTCTAATACAGTAGCATTTTGCTTTAAAACATGTTCACTAAACGTAATCATTGAGAATCTATTTATATTTATTCACATATCAAGCCCATCTATTTTTAGAGACCAAAGCACTGCTCAAAAAAATAAAGGGAACACTTAAACAACACAATGTAACTCCAAGTCAATCACACTTCTGTGAAATCAAACTGTCCACTTAGGAAGCAACACTGATTGACAATCAATTTCACATGCTGTTGTGCAAATGGAATAGACAACAGGTGGAAAGCAGAGGCAGTTAGCAAGACATCCCCAATAAAGGAGTGGTTCTGCAGGTAGTGACCATAGACCACTTCTCAGTTCCTATGCTTTCTGGCTGATTGTTTGGTCACTTTTGAATTCTGGCGGTGCTGTCACTCTAGTGGTAGCATGAGACGGAGTCTACAACCCACACAAGTGGCTCAGGTAGTGCAGCTCATCCAGGATGGCACATCAATGCGAGCTGTGGCAAGAAGGTTTGCTGTGTCTGTCAGCGTAGTGTCCAGAGCATGGAGGCGCTACCAGGAGACAGGCCAGTACATCAGGAGACGTGGAGGAGGCCGTAGGAGGGCAACAACCCAGCATCAGGACCACTACCTCTGCCTTTGTGCAAGGTGGGACAGGAGGAGCACTGCCAGAGCCCTGCAAAATGACCTCCAGTGGGCCACAAATGTGTATGTGCTGCTCAGTCAGAAACAGACTCCATGAGAGTGGTATGAGGGCCCGACGTCCACAGGTGGGGGTTGTGCAGGACGTTTGGCATTTGCCAGAGAACACCAAGATTGGCAAATTCCCACCACTGGCACCCTGTGCTCTTCACAGATGAAAGCAGGTTCACACTGAGCACATGTGACAATCGTGACAGGGTCTAGAGATGCCATGGAGAACGTTCTGCTGCCTGCAACATCCTCCAGCATGACCGGTTTGGCAGTGAGTCAGTAATAGTGTGGGATGGCATTTCTTTAGGGGGCCGCACAGTCCTCCATGTGCTCGCCAGAAGTAGCCTGACTGCCATTAGGTACCGAGATGAGATCCTCAGATCCCTTGTGAGACTATATGCTGATGCAGTTGGCCCTGGGTTCCTCCTAATGCACAACAATGCTAGACCTCATGTGACTGGAGTGTGTCAGCAGTTCCTGCATGACGAAGGCATTGATACTATGGACTGGCCCGCCTGTTCCCCAGACCTGAATCCAATTGAGCACATCTGGGACATCATGTCTCGCTCCATCCACCAACGCCACGTTGCACCACAGACTGTCCAAGAGTTGGGGGATGCTTTAGTCCAGGTGTGGGAGGAGATCCCTCAGGAGACCATCCGCCACCTCATCAGGAGCATGCCCAGGCATTGTAGGGAGGTCATACAGGCACGTGGAGGCCACACACACTACTGAGCCTCATTTTGACTTGTTTTAAGGACATTTCATCAAAGTTGGATCAGCCTGTAGTGTTTTTTTCCACTTTCATTTTGAGTGTAACTCTAAATCCAGACCTCCATGAGTTGCTAAATTTGATTTCCATTGATAATATTTGTGTGATTTTGTTGTCAGCACATTCAACTATGTAATGAACAAAGTATTTAAAAAGAATATTTCATTCATTCAGATCTAGGATGTCTTATTTTTGTGTTCCCTTTATTTTTTTGAGCAGTGTATATTAAAAGAAGAAAGGGATAGAGGGAAGGGAAAAACAAAGTGGTAACTCAGTCCCATGCATGTCTACTCCAATTTATGTTTCATGGTTCACTAAGGTAAACAACATATCAAACAATACCACTCCTGAATATATTTATTTATGGAGAAATTCCTTGGAATCCAATAGAAGGAAGTTCTGAATAAGACCATAATGAGCAGATTGAGTGATATTTAGTAATTCCTGATAAATTTTCTGGAAAGTCTGCAATTCTTTTCCTAATAAAAATTATATTATGCATTCTGCAGATGTTGCATGTTTAGAATTGTCTATTACCAAAGCCTATTGGTCTGGCCAAAATTCACTGGGAAACAGAATAAACACAGTACGAGATCTTCCTTTTTCCATGAATGAGAACGGGATCAAAGTGTAACAGAAATCACCCTAAGCAAACTCCAAAAAGTTTATGTACTATTGTGTTTAAATCCAAATAGCAAAAAATAAAATAAAATCATCTTACATTGCTTGTCAAATAAGCATAGGTTTTGGCAAATCTTCTGGAGATGTCTCTTTCCAGATGGCCTTGGCCAATGGTAGTTAGTCAGAATAGCCAAGGCAAGAAAGAGAGTGGTCCACCTGGCCCCCTGGCTCTGCTCTAGAGAGGAGCTGTGTTTACTTATAAGCAGGCTTGCATCTGGAGCTTGGCTATTCTCAACCCGGATGGATTCCAGCCAGCCATGCCCATTCCTCTCCCAGCTGGCATACGCGGCTGTGCCACTTGGCAGGCGGCAGCCCCTGCATGCATCTGGTGGTGGCATTTTTAGAAACACTCCGGCAGTGAATTCATCCAGCCATTTGGGAGAGGTTTCTTAATGTGGAAAGCATTTCTCTGCCGTAAGCACATTCTCCCTACCTCAACTCATGTCAGCGCTGCAGATTCTTTCCCCTCCCCCCCAACCCGCCTTTTCTCTTTGCTTACGTTGTTTGGTTTCTTTCTCAAACTCGGCCAACTCTGAACAACCAGATTGCCGCTTGCCCATGCTGGTGGGGCAACGGAATCTGCAATTCAACAAAATCTGGAGAATCAAAATTTTCATCCTTCGTTTAGTATTGCCAACGTGTTACAAACTGGGGTGAGAAATAATTTAGAATCTCACTCGCAGGCATCTTTTGAGGATTCCCAGTAAAACACACTAATAATAGGCTGTACCTGTGGTCCTGAATGTCTTGATACATTCTAATCCGTCTGCGGAATCCTGATTCATTAACTGACTTTTTAGCCCACTCACTTCATGTATTGGTTATATTTCAAGGCCACCCAACTCTGAAACTACTCGGTTGATATCACCAGTTAAAAGAAGCCGCATTTCATAAAAATAAAATAAACTTCTGTATAAGAGGCCACACCTTTACCTTAAAATCACCCTGCCCCCTTAGCCCTTGTACCAAGGACTTCTCCCTTTGGATCAGCTTTAAGAAAACTTAAGACAGAAAAGCTTTTGGATCATCCCCCTCCAAAACCCTAAACTACAACCGTTACTAAATGTTGTGCCAATCATGAAATACAAGTAACAGTTCCGTAACTGGTTGCACATGGAGATTTTAACAAGTAACTTAGTAGTCCAATCTCTAGGCATAAAAAGAGAATTTATTGGATCATGAAAAATATACAAAAAAAAATGTGGGCGCTTACTAATTAACCACAGAGATATCCAAATAAAATAAACAGAGTTGACACAGCTGAATTAGTCAACAGTGCTTGAATTAAGATTTTTGATTTCAGCGCATTGCCAGGGATCACTGCAGTGTGCAGGTGGAGAGGGTCCTTTGAGCCTCCTGCTTAAATGTTTTTAGTCAGGGCCTCCATGCTCCAACTGTTTTTCCAAGATGCTGGCTTTCTTTCGTTGATGATGTTCAACTTTATTTTTTTATTTATTTTATTTGTCAAGCGATTATAAGACAACAGGTGTAAGTATTAACATAGTTATGAATACATGGAATGGATACATATAAGAAAAATAAAAAAGAAACAATAGGACAGGAACGGTAGACACTTTGGTGCGCTTATGCACGCCCCCTACAGACCTCTTAGGAAAGGGGTGAGGTCAATAGTAGACAGTCTAAGGTTAAAGTTTTTGGGGTTTGGGGAAGAAACTAGAGTTGGGTAGAGTATTCCAGACATTGACCACTCTATTGCTGAAGTCGTATTTCCTGCAATCAAGTTTGGTGCGGTTTACCTTGAGTTTGTATCGTGTGCTCTTGTATTGTTATGGTTGAAGCTGAAGTATTCATTGACAGGTAGGACATTGCAATTAAGTTAACAACTCTTAATGCCTTTTTGGCTATGTATTTACAGTGGGCTCTAAACCATAGAACATAACTGAAAGCCAGCATCTTGGAAAAACAGTTTCCTTACTCAAAGAAAATGTCCCCCAGATTTGACATTTAGGCATTTAGGCTAAAGTGGCTAACCCAATTGATGAAAACTAGACTGCAAGTTATCAGTTGGACCACAATTATTATGGGGTTTTAAAGAAAGCAAGCCTCTCAGCATGGGTCAATTTATTGGATGTTTTGGGCCACACCACAAAGTAGGGGGCTGTCACCCATCCTTATACTGTAGCTCACTGCATCTCATGTCCACTGAGGTTGATCTGTATGTTGGGATCTGAACTGAGTTCTACACACTCACGGCCTATTTTACCCTCTTACAGTATGCCAAAGAACTCTGCAGAAGTTGGTTTTTACACATAACAAAAGAAGTTAATATAGTGTCACAAAATTCATGTAAACATATAACGTTTATTTAGTTCTTTTGCTTGTGAGATTGAAATAAATACTAATTTACTAATACAGCTAAAGACAAAAATAAACATTAGTGCAAAAAATACCAGAGCTGGATCAGTAATTTCTTTTTAAGTGCAGTTTGCTTCTTTGACTCCTCTCTGTCTAGCATTTTATGCATTAAGGCAACACTATTATTTTGAATAGTTGCCCATTTGAAGGCTGAAAATTAAAGAAGTCAGTTTTTAAAAATATGGTGTTTCAGTGCCATCTTGTGGCATACACACAAAATCACAGTTTCTGGTTCTCAATGTGTGTGTTTGCGCATGCACACATATGTGTGCCCATACAGGACTTCCAGTCAGTGTTGACTCATGGCAATTGCCTATACAACTCCCTGGAGTTTTCTTGGCAAGATTTATTTATTTATCAAATTTGGAGACCACTCATCTCATTCATAGTGCGATTCTATAGATAAAAGATTTCAAAAGTGGGTTATAAACTAATTTTTACTTGGTCTATAATTGTGAACAATGATCTTTATCATTTGCCCTCTATTTACCCATATTGACCGTAGAAATGAGGAAAACATAGTTACCATTTTTTGTACTTCCTTCAATACAGTAACAAACATTTAGTGTATTACAATCAAACTGAATCAATCCAGTGCAATCCAGGATTAAGTCCTCTTCTTGAAGACCATGGGTGTAATCTAGTTACACTGGTCCAGTACAGTTGGTAGAGAATTTTTTTTTTTGATTACCCAGGAGTAATCTAGATTTGGGAGAGATTAATTGGCCCAGTCATCCAATGTAGTCATTCCCTACATGGGGAACAACTAGAATATGGGGTGAAGCAAAGGGATCTATCTAAATAACACTGGAAAGAGAAACATATAAACGAATAATATGGACCCATCAATTAAAAAGGCATTTGGGGATCTGCCTCATTGTTTTTTTTTCTGGAGACAATTTGAGGAAAAGGTCATTTTTTATAATTCAAAAAGAACCAGTAATAAGGCTTATACACTTTGCTTCCTTTAATTTATAAGATTTTCACAGTACTGGCATTCACATCTACTTTACCAAAGGTATAATATACATACAATATATATATTTATTTATTAGTATTCTTCTAGCCCTCTCAGTTATGTACTGAACTGAGAAAAGGGGTAGAAATGGCCAAAGATGGGGGATCTTAGAATATGCCTCACAGAATACGACAAGTGATACAGCCTCACAGCCTCAGAGCAAACAAGCACACTTTTTCTTCTTCTAACCTGCCACTCATTTGTTACTAGTTCAATGTAAAGTTCTGCCTAATGGAAATCTCTTCTGTCGGAAGTCTTTTTGCAATACATTTCCTTTCCTTTTTCTTGCAGCCATTCCTCCTCCTTTCACCTAAAAAGGTCACAAAAATGGAAATAGCCTTTTTTTCAAGATGTAAAGCACAGTGGCCAAAAACAAGGCAAGGGCAAGAAAGATGAGCAATTTATCAGTCAGCTCCCTGCGGTTATACTTTGTGATAAGCTTTCGCCCCAGCTGTATTGTTCCAGACATAGATTTAAACTCCTCGTTGGCATCCAAGATAGTTCGTGAAGAATTAACTGAAAGATAAAGTGTACATTTCAGTGGACTGTTTCTGAAGCATCTAGCAAAATCATATATCGTGGTAGCATCTTTTTGTGTCCCATGAAAGAAAACATACCACATGCAGTTCACAGGATAAATTGGCTTAAAGATTCATGTTTTTAAATCTGGAGTCAGATGAAATCAATTCAAATGGCTCTCTTGTTATCTGATTGATATGTTACCATCTTGAAGAGGCCCATTCATAAAAGACTGAGATCAGAGTTGGCTGAAGTTCCAGAACCATTAAAACTTTCACCTCAGCCAAACTCTGCATCCCAACAGACCATACTTTCCCTTAAGGCTGTTCGCAAACACTTTAAAAAGGCAGATGTAAATAATTAAAACAGCAATGTATAAACATTCATAAGCATTTAGTTTAAGCAATCTGATCCATCTAAAATCAGATAAAAGCATTACGTCTTTTAGGCCTACAGTTAAAAACCAAGATGGAAGGAGCCAACGTAAACATATAGTGGAAGAGTTTGCTCAATAAAACCACAGTTTCCCAAAGCACATGAGAGTTAGCTTGATGCTTAACATCTTCTGTTGAAGCAAGTAAAAATACTTTGTCCCCTAGTTGCCACTGTTAGAAGGCAAAAACTGGATGTACACACACATAACTCTTTATCACAAAACAAAATGACACAGCATCAACCAGACAATCATTTCCTAGCCTAACCAACAGCAAATCCAGATCTGACTCCCCAACCTCAGAATGGATTATACCATATTCAAATAACCTCAAAGGCACTCTAAAGACCCCGAGGAAAGTGAGCAGGGGGTCCACGGTGACAACCTTTGTACAGTCAGTTTGCTTTGTGCTACACATACTCTTTCTAATATGCATTTTCCATCTCTGAGATTTTCAGGTGGTCTCCCATCTGAGTGCTAGCCAGGTCCAATTCTCTTTGGCATTAGCAAGATAGGCTAGATGCTGCTTTCTTTTGATCATCGTAAACAAGGGTATTAAGATAACAGATAGATTTATCTAGGGGGCAGAAAAAAGTATGAATCACTTAAGTGGAAAGGCAATTTGTAAATCTAAAGACAAGCCATTTTTCTCTCCAGTTTCTGTGCCTGTTGGAATGGAATGGAAGAGAGGGGAGGGCGGGAGGGGAGAGGGGAAGGGAGAGGGGTAAGGGAAGGGGAGAGGAGACTTTATTTGGACAAGTGTGATCAGACACACAAATAATTTGTCTCTGGTGCAGAAACATTCATTTCTATTTAAACCAACTGGTTTTAGGATATTCAATTGCCAACAAAAGAAATGTTTGAATCTGACAGAATAAAAATACATCTTCTCAGTACCTATTGGTTGCACCAAATGACACCCTTCCTTTAATCCTTGAACAAATATTCCTATATGTGACAGAAGCCTTAAGGAAAGAGTGGCAATGATTCTCTCACATAGAAAGCTGAACTCAAAAATGTCTCCAGAAAGAGGAAGGCACACAAGGCCTAATTCTCCTTGTTTCTTCCTCTCATCGAAGCACCATATAAATGACTAAAGGTCGGATTTCCGGTTTGTCGGCTTTGTGAGCGGTAGGGATTCGCGAAGCTGCGCGATCCCTGCCGCGCTAGCCGCTTTTGGGGCTCCGATCCGAAAGGCTGCGGAGCAAGGCTGCCCTGCAGGGGCAGCTGAAGGTAGGGGGGATCCGGAAAAGGGTTTGGGGGTGTTGCAGACCCCCTCCCTGGCCGGCAGAACCCCCTTTTACCAAGACGGCGTAGCGGCGGTCCATAATGGCCGCCACAAAGAAGCCGGCAGCTGGGCAAGTATGCGCAGGAGGAAGAGGAGAAAGTTTTTAAAAGTGAAAGTCTTCTTGGTCGGTCCAGGACTCTGAGATATATTTAATTTAATTCCTGGAAGTGATGGCTTTTTGGATGATTTTTTCCACAAGAGAAAGTAAGCGGCAATTCTGAGGTGCTGAAAGGAAAGTTTACTCTCCCTCCCGACGGAATTAACAAACGGATATTGAGAAACCTGTTTTTTTTTCAGGTTAAACTAGCTTTATGGGATAAGTCGGAAGGGAGAGGACAAAAAATATATTTATCTGGTTGGATTTTGTTGGAGGAGATGCCTTAAGGATTTGGAGACAGAAATAAAATTTTAATAAGGCTTCAAAACACAGATTTGGATTTTTTTTTTTCCTTTGTCTGATACTACCCCTGGAAGAGAAAGAGGAAATTTTGGCTTGGCTTGGATTGATTGAGGATTGTGGACTTTGGGATTGTCTTATTTTTCTTTTGGAATATTTTGGTTGGAGTGAGAAGAAAAAGGGAAAAAAGAAAAGAAAAGATTTATAATGGCTTTCTCCTTTGAGGAACTGAGGGATGAATATGAGCAAACAAAAGCAGCCTGTAAAGATGGTATGGAAAAAGCTTTTCTATTTTTAGAAATGGCGCTGGTTAACTATGAACAGACAATGCGACAGATGGAACAACAACAAGAAGAAGACGAAGACACCATCTTTAATGAATCCCAAAATTTATCTAAGAAAGAAGGAAGGAAGAAAGCGAGGAAAATGAAGGACTTAAGATCTAAAAAAACATTTAAGAAAGAGAAAAATATGATGCAAAATAAATACAATGATAACAAACAAGAGAAAAAGGGAATACAACAGAGAAGGGATGCCAGCAAGACAGAGGTTAGAAGAAGGGGGGGTAGGAAGATCTGGTGGGGGAAGAAAGAAAGGGGAAAGGCGGAGAAAAGCCACAAAGTTTTAAAATTGGATGGGAAAAGAGGAATCTTTTTTAGGGATAAAGGGTGAAGTATAAATTTTCTTAAAAAAGATTTTGCAAGGTACATAAGACGGTATTGTAATATTTGTATTAGAAATAGAAAATTAGAATGGCTTAAGAGTTAATAAGAAATTAAAATGTTGAAATGTTTAATAATGATTGATTTTTAAAACGTAATAAAATATTGAAGGGAAAGGCAATGAGAATGCTATAAGATTTATTATTTAGATTTATTATTCAACTACGTATTTAGGAGGATACTATGTATTTAAACATTTTCGATTTATTACTCTGTTTTTATTGTTATTAAAAGTAAAAATTAATAGATAGAATGTACCAAGCAGAATCAGATTGGGTATTAGGTGTTATTTTAAATGTTAATCTAATATTTAGGGAGAGGATAGAAAGGCATCATACTCTGATTAGAGATTTCAGGAGAAATTCTTTTTTTTTTTTTTCATTATAAGGAATGAGATAGAGGGATAATAAAGGATGGGCAAAAGATACAAATATAATGATTTAAATTAAGATGGGTTGAATAAGATAGAATTATGAAGAGTGAAATGTGTGGAGAAGTATATATAGAAGATACAAGATGAGCATGAATATAATTAAAGCCCATATAAAGAGAGGTACCGGGGGCCAAGTTACTTTACTAAAAGATTTTTTATATGTTTGTTTGTGTCTGTTTATGTTTTTGAGAAGTATTGGTGAAACCTTCTAGAAACACAGAAAGAGAATGACGATAATCAAGTCAGAAAGAAATAGAGGACAAGAGATGTTTTTATGCTTATTTAGAAATGGTTTAAAATAGAACTGTATTGTATAAGATAAGGTTTATCTGACTTGTAAAATTTATAATGGAAAAAGGTTCAAATATGTAATGGTTGATGATGATTTGTTTGTTTTTGAAATTAATAAAACTTGTTTAAAAAAAAAATGACTAAAGGTCAAGGGCTCCGGGGGGAGGATAGAGGGTGGGGTCGGAAGAACCTGTTGCATCAGGAGACCAACCGTCCATCTTGAACTTAAATCCAGATTATTTAGTTACCTAGAGATTGCATGGTTTCCTCACTTTGCTGAACCTGCTGAGACATCATTCTGCTAATTCCCATCAGGCTCTCTGTGATGTTACTTGCCCCCTCTGCCAGACTTTCCTTAGTAGACTTTCTAAAAGAGAAGAGAAAAAGAAATCCAGAATGGAGCTTCAAATTATATTCCTTTCTAGTTTCTTCTTCCAGGAGGACCATAGGAAAAGATGGCATCAAGATTACATTCCAGTACAATTGGAAACATGTTTTAAATTACGCAGATTCCTTGGGATGATACAAATAGGATTTGCTATTCCTTTCGGCTAAGATTTTTGTGTTCAATTATTCAGTCTAGCTTATGGTTCTAAACCAGTGTTGGCAAACCTTTTCGGCACTGAGTGCTGAAATGGGAGTGTGCGCACGCGGGGGGAGCACTGGAAACTGGAAGAGCAGCTTCCTGGCATGCATGCGCGTGCCGGGAAGCTGAGTTTCTGGATTACGGCAGATGCATGTGAGCCGGCCATCTGGTCTTCCAGTTCCTGGTGCACATGCAAGTGCAAAGACCAGCTGGCTGGTGCACGTATGCATATTGGAAACCGGAAGACCACTTTCCCGGCACATGCTCTTCTGGTTTCTGGCACTCCCACTCCCAAGACCAGCTGGCTGGCGCACATGTGTACCCCGGAACTCAGAAGAGCCAACGGGCAATGGCTGGCGTGCCCAGAGAGATTGTCTGCATGCCACTTCCAGCATGCATGCCATAGGTTCACCCTCATGGTTCTAAACTATATTCTTCCGCATCTGCATTCATCAGTTAACCAGGTCTATGCCTACATAGCTTCTAAAACAGTTAGATGCTGCCACTTGCTATGGTTTTTAGGCTCCCTCAAGTCACACTTGATTTTTGGTGAACCCAGTACTGCCATCTGCCTGAACTTGACAGAGAAACCTAAAAGGAACCAGCTCTGGTAAGTAAGACCATGTCACAATTAAGGAAGAAGACTAAGTACAGAAGTAGAAAAACACCTTTCGAAAAGAGCCAGGGAAACATATTTTACATCATACCAAGATGTACACACTTCTCCATGAGGATACCAAGTGTTGAGCTCAGCTCAACTTTATTTGCATTAGAGGTGATCTGTATAAGCCAGATTGTTCCAGCCTGAGTATGATCAACTAGCCATTTCCTGATAGTAGGAAAAAAATTACTTTGTCATCTTGCCAGCCCCAAACCACTAAGAAGGCAATCTCTGTTTTTGTCTCTATAGGTCAAAAATAAGTTCGGTCTGTTCAATCAGGGCTATTCAGTTGGCCTACTGCATTTCATTTCACTGCAGACAAACTCCTGCATTCAAATTGGCTGCTGGGCACTGCCAGAGAAACACCTCGTCCTTTCAATCACTGGCAGCTGCCCTTGAGATTGCAATAGCAGTAGTACTTAGATTTCTCTACTGCTTTACAGCCCCTCTGTAAGCGGTTTAGAGTCAGCCTATGGCCCCCAACAATCTGGGTCTTCATTTGACCCAACCTCAGAAACATGGAAGGCTGAGTCAACCTTCAGCCGGTGAGAATCGAACTGCCAAACTGCTGGCAACTAGCAGTCACCAGAAGTAGCCTGCAGTACTGCATTCTAACATCCCTCCCGCCCCCCGCCCCCTCAGTAGACACCGAAAGGTTAAAATTCCAGAACGCATACAAAAGATTCATTGATTGAAACCACGTACGTGGCCTGTTCACAGAAAAGGCAATGATTGCTGCTGGTTTCCCTGGCATGGGTTGCAGGGGTAAAGAAGCAAAGGAATCCACCAAGTGGATAGCAGCAGGCCATCACTACGGCCAAAATGAGGAAGGGACTGAAATCTGAAAAGGTGGTTCTTAATCTGCCTTCTTTTTCAGCATGTCAATAGGGGAAGGTTGCATGCCTCTGACACCTGAGAGGGAGACTCTCTCTGGTTTCTGGGGGGTGGCTAAAAAAGATCCATACCAAAATCGAAGCAGGATTTTAGCACAGAGGTGTCTGTAGCACAGGGAGTTGGCAGCCAGCCAGAAAGGGAGTCCTTCTGTCTCTGGAGGCTGACTGAAAAAAGGACTGTCCCAAAATCCAAGCAAGATTTTGGCACAGAGACTCCCTCTTATTTCTGGGGGCTGATTGCAAATGCCCAGTGCTGCACATATTCTGTGCTAAAATCCTGCTTCTGTTTCAGAATGGATGCAGCAAGGGAAGTCCTCTTGTCTCTGGGGTATAGGCTGCAAATACCCTATACTGCATATCAAAATTCTGCTTTTAGGACTGACCTTTTCCAGATAAGTTCTTTAAGAGCAAAACAGCTGCCCACTATGTAGCCCTATTATTACTAATCAACATTTTAATATTCAAGAATACTTTACAAATTAGCCCAAATATGTGCAAACCAATGTAAAGTCATTCTTAATACTGCACGATTATTCAACTTTTTTAAAAGCAGGATCTATCAAATCCAATAGGAATTACTTCAAAGAGATCCAAAGGATTGAATAATAAAAAAAAAGACGTAGCTACCAATAAATGCACCAAGATATATATATCCATTCTACAAATAGATAAGATGCTCTTTCATGAAGATGCAAAGAAAGCAGCAAGCATTAAGTGCAGGAGCTGAAATCAGCAAGAGAGAACTTCAGCTGCCTGGCTTCCCAGCAGGATCTCACAAAACTCACTGCAAATGACAACAGTATAGATTTATAATGGTTCACATGAATGAATTTCTGAAACAGCATTTGGCAGGAGGTTGGGAATTTCTGTGCCAATTTTTCATAATAATGAGAAAGAATAATTACATACCTTTGTCGTAAAGGATCTCCTCCTCGCAGCAAATCATCTTTCTCAGAATTGTCAATTGCAATTTTGCAAGCTAGGTTTGCTTTACGCCAGGCTGTCTGATTGCTGAAATTATTAATACACACCTTTGGTAACACATACAAAGTTCTTGAGAAACCTGAATGCATAAAACTAAAGCATTCAATTTGCCATTGACTTAATTAACATTTCATTAGCATTCATGTTATATTGCTGTTATATTTAAAACTGCATTATATATTTATTTTCCTATTTCTCTATATCTTATCACCATATAAATAGTGTTCCTTAGTTAGTGGTCTGTTTAACAGTGAAAATATCTGGATGCTTACAGAAATCAATGACAATTATCTACCCTTTTAGCAACCTTTATAACGATGTTTCTAACACTGGATGGATGGCCTGAATCAAACTATCATTTTTCCATCAACTGATCAAAAGCTGCATTGCAAGTCATAGCTAATTGTGGTAATACAGTATTGTAGGGAATTATTTTTTTCTATGAAAAGAAGGAAGAACTCACACTGTTGGAAGAAATCCCCACTAAATTTAATGGAAATGTCTAGATGTCTAGATACTGCTTTCTAAGATCCCAATGGAGAACAGGTTGAGTACCAGCTGCAAACAAAAATCAGTCCTGCTATCATAAACTTGTACTTTTCAAGCTTGAAAGGCACATCATTTATTTATCTGAGAAAGGAACATTAGAATATTTGACAGGGAGACAAACAAACAAACCAAACAAACTGTTCTGGTCCATTGTTACTTCATGTGATTCTCCAATCCGATTTTACAGAACTGAATTTTACCTTGATGTTTAATTGATAAATTGCTAAGTGTAACAAACATGCACAAGGGTATTATTTACTTTTCTTAAAACTTTTCCCCTCATGAGTCCTTCTTGGATTGTGTCCAACTGAACTCCTCCTTCCTATCCATGTGCCTTCCAAATCTGCTCTATAGGGTTGAAGAAGCTTTCTGAGTAAATCTGGGAGTACAGAAGGAAAGCAAAAAGTCATTGAAGGCATGTGATTACCTTCTTACATAATAACCACTTATGGATCTTGATTAATTTAAAAATAAGTAGGGAGTTGCTTACAGAAAGGGACGTATAGAACTGAAATATACAATCAATCAAATCTTGTGTGAGGGACAACTTCAGTGCTTCCTATATTCCAAACTTCCTATTCTGCAGGCTCAGCTAATAAAACATATTACATCATTGATCTTGGTAGTTTTAACTGACCTGAGCATTTGCTTTTTATGGTTCTCTACTTCTTGGAGTAATGCTTGTTTTTCTGATTCTTTATCCTGCTCCTTAGCCATCTGTTCAAGTTCCTAAGAAGAACCATAAACACACATGATTTATGAATACTTCTATATTCAAAAAGGAAATATTGCTAGTAAATGCACAAATACACAATGCCTTGGTTGCGAATAAAATGATATGGATCAGGGCTGTCAAAACTTTATTTACTTTCAACTTTCAAATGAAGGAGCTAAGAACATCCCTCTCATATTAGTAGTGTGCAGTCTGGATATCTTTTGAATATCAAGAGGGGATATTGCATGCCCATTCCCATCTTTATATCAATGATCAAGGGCCATGGAATGATGCAATCTCTCTCCTTATCTTACCCAGGAAACAGGTCAGTACACATCTTTGATTTTTAGATTATTTACAGAGCACGAACAGAGTTTAGTGGAGTTTGAGGGCAAGACAATTTGCCTACTTAGTAAAGAGAATAAAACTAAAGGCCATATTTTATGCAGTCATAGGTGAATTGACATGACAATTCTGATGCAGAACTAGCTGATATGAAGAAAATAGATACATATACCAAAAGGAAAACAATGGAAATCAAAGTTGACTCAGCCTTCCATCCTTCCGAGGCGGGTAAAATTGAGGACCCAGATTGTTGGGGGCAAGATGCTGACTCTGTAAACTGCTTAGAGAGGGCTGTAAAGTACTGTAAAGCAGTATAGAAGTCTAAGCGCTATTGCTATTGCTAACTACTAGCAAAACCAGATTCAACATGATGTTCCTCTAATTAAAGGACATTAGCTTTTCCCATCCCTGCCCCCAATAGGATTACTTTCATTACTGTATTTTAATTAAATCATTGTCTAGTATTGTTGGACTTTACAACATTGCCGCCACATATGAAAAAAGGAGTCAACATTCTATTAAGATTTCCAGCATGTTTTATTAAAAAAAAATCAGCAACCAATAGTAATGCTCCAATAGTGGAACATCTTACATTAATTCTAAGTAAGTTTGAAGTAAATTTGTTTATTCCATTGAAATTTCCTCTCTTCCATCTCTACAACTGGTTTCCAAGTTCTGCATCCACCTCATCATATGTTTTTAACATACTGTGACTACAGATCATACTTTTAGATTTATAGTAATATTGTAATGCATAGATTGTATCTAATCAATATTCAGCATTATGCATTACAAGAGTTTCAAATGCACATAACTGAAATAACAGTAAAATAAATACATGACATTTTCAACATTCTTACTATGAGCTTTGGTGAAACCAAGCTGTGTAACTTGTGATCTTTGACCTTTGCTGACAGATATAAATTCAAGAACGTTAAATGCTTTTTAAAAAACAAACAAACCCAACTTTTACAATTCAAGCAGCAAGGAATTACATGCAGGTGAGTGCAAACATGTCAGAGATGTAAGCTAGTAAAAACATCCATGGGTTTATTTTCAAAACATCACTAATATTTTGTCAATATTCCTCACTTGTAATCTGAGACGTAAATGCTGGAATTTTTCTTTTACTTTGGCATTCAATTCTGCAAGTGCACTTACAGGCCCTGCACAATCCCGGATATCCTGAAAAACAAGAAAAATTCTAATGTCAGCCTAGGACTGGAGAGACCCAGATTCTAGTCCATGGAATTCTACTGGATGACTTTGAACTAGTCACCCTCTCAACCCAGCATTGTTTGTTATGGGAAAACAGTAAGAGTATATAACGTTCATCAATGTTGAGTTCCCAGGGAAAAGAGGAAAAACCATAAATGAAACCAACACAACAAACACTTTTTGCACCAATTATATGTGTGGGGAAAAGTATATATGCATATGTATATGTATGGTATTCAGTTTTGTTCGGGTATTTTCCCACGTCATTATAGTTGTGCTTTTAAAGTTGTAGCAACGTTTCGGCAGAATCGTTGCTACAACTTTAAAAGCACAACTATAATGATGTGGGAAAATACCCAAACAAAGCTGAATACCATACATGTAAGTACCCGCAAAAACGTAAGAAAACAAATACGTATATGTATATGTATATCTATATGTGTGTGTGTGTGTGTGTGTGTGTATGGCATTCAGCTTTGTTCGGGTATTTTCCCACGTCATTGTAGTTGTGCTTTTAAAGTTGTAGCAACGTTTCGGCAGAATCTCATCTGCCATCATCAGGCTTCTGTATAGTGTTCATCTACAATGACGTGGGAAAATACCCGAACAAAGCTGAATGCCATACATGTAAGTACCCGCGAAAACTTAAGAATACATACATACATACATACATATACACACACACATACATACATACGGTACATGTATACGGTATACACACACACACACCCCCCTGGATCCTCAAAATGCAACAGTTTCAGGAAGGCTAGGTGATGTACTAGTGGCTATACCATTTTAAGTCAAGTATTTATTCTTCATTTTTTTTTAAAAAAAATAACCACTTGAGGGAGGGCTGCCACTGTGAGACTACCATCACCCACCAGAGTAGGAAAAACAAAACAGCTGACAAATGGCAGCGCCCAAAGAAGCAGTTGCCCAAACCTGGGGCCGCTGAAAAGATCAAGTAATCTGCAGCATTTATAACAGCACCGGTCTTCTTCAAGTTGAGCCAAACTGACCTGTCTAGCTATTTACTACAAGGCTGGTTGAGGGATGCTGCTGAACCAACCTGTACCACAGGGTCGGCCAATTGATAAAAGAGAGACGGGCGGTTATGGGCTCATCAATAAAATGCCCAGCGATCACACCGTGAATGATTGAGTAACGGAGACGGGAACTATACCTGCACGGCGGCTTTAATCTCCAGGTCGAATTTGACAATCTCCTGATTGCAAACCCGGACCGGCACGTCACCGGCTCCCGCCGCCATCTTGAGGCTAACTACGGCGAGCGAGAAGGAAGCCAAGCCACTTCGGAACGCGAACAGACTTCGGGATCGAACGTCCACAGGCTGGCGTAGGCATGACGTGTTCCTTTCTCACGGAGCGCCCGCCCCCCTTCCCAGGTCTTCCAGTTGCGGAGGGTCGGGGAAGTGGTACTGGACGGCAAGAGGAATTTCTTGTGCCACGTTGTTCCCGACAGCCACGCTTACCGGTGTCCTTGCAGTCAGGAGAGAGAACAGTGTCTACTACAGTATGTTTAAGATTGCGGTGACGGAATTATTTGGAAACAACTGTTAATTCAGATTTTCCCTTGCTGTAGCGCCTTTTATCTGATTATAACATGTAATTATTGGGGTTTATATTTGTACCATTATTGTTGCTGTCTTCCAAAGGCAGAAGAACTTGATATTTGAGTATGTGCCCTTTTGTTTTTTTGCAGAAAGTTAGGCTAATTCCCCAGTATCATATTTCCAGATGAAGTCATCCTAGATAGGAACGGAGAGCTCGACTGTAGGATCGCTGCGGAAATTGCATCGAATGAGCCATTAGTTTGAAATTATTTAATGGGCTCTTATACTCTTTAAGATATCCTCTTTACAGAAAGCCTAAAGCGTTACTTGATGTCTGAAGTTTTACTCAAATTCAGAATTGATCTAAAATAGCCTAGCCTATATAATATAGGTTCAGCTTATTTAATGTTTTCATTACTGTTATAATTATATCCTACAGAATTAAATTCTTCAAGTGAATGCTGGGGCTTGTTTATTTATTTTGGTTGTTTTGGCTACTGATGCGTTTAGGTACCCTTTGTGCTTTTCCTTTATGTGATAAGCAAAGTTATGCAAAAAAAAAAAAATCCCCCCCAAAATTGAAGACATGAGAAAAATGGGTAAAACTATTCATCACCCACTTACAGAACACTACCCATTAAACAGCCCATTAAAATACTGTATATTATTGAAGTTAAAACAAGGCTTTAAATATTCCATAAAAATGAACAATGATTTCATCAAATATCAGGCACTTCTTCAAAAAGGCATATGGTTAGAAATGAGCAGACTATTCAAGTTTCCAGTTATACTTAACAATATTTAACTTTCTTGTAATAAAAATAGCAAACCAGGATTATAAATATCCATGTATTCTTCAGTTTCCTTACACCTGCATACTTTATTTTTATCTCGAGAGCAGATAAGTGATTTTCATCAGCTTGAGAGTCATGTCAGTTCTGATATCAGGCAGGTGGAATTTGTTCTCCATGTTGCTGCGAAAGTCCAGGTCAGGGTTAGACTCATCTTCCTACATCATCGACCTGAGACTGCCAAGTGTTTGCTTTATATTTTTATTTTATTAAGATCCCCCTATAATATGTATGAATAAATCTTTACCTAAATTAAGGAGATGAGTCATCCTTTCAAGGGATCACCAAATAGCCCCAAAACTTTCATTGTACTCTGCATCTTGTTCCCATTTATTGATTCGTGTTGCCTAATTTTTTCCTCTGAATTGCAGCATTAGAATGTTGCCTAGTGTTTCCTCAAAACTCACCTCTGGGATTGGTAGCACCAATCAATCTGTGGATTCCTACTTTTATACCTACTCATAACATCCCAATGATGCCATTTGATGCATGCTGCCATATAATTGCAGTTATCTTCATTAGAATTAAGTGTAAACCTTCATTTTCCTGCATATTTTCATAAACTCAGTTTCACAAGATCAGACCACCTCCATTAAATGATATTTTTCACCTTTCCTTAGTTTCCCAGATATACAATATTTTAATTTCATCCCTCTCTTCAGCATTTAGTGCTCTTAGGTTCTAAATCAGTCTTCCATGTGCCATAATTTTCAACCAACAAACCCATGGATTCTGTCCTCCATTACCCATTATGCCCTAGTTAATAGAAATGTTCATATAGTAATTTTCAGTAAAACAGAAAACGTGTAGGTTAGGTCAATACTCATCATTCTGCAGTCATACGCATACTCTAACTTGGTCATACCATGCCATATATAGATTATAGCTCCATCCTCATTTATTTTCTGCCATTGTTTCTATTTCTGGAATTTCTAAAGGGATTGGTACTGTCCAAGACTTTCTCAGCGGTATGGATGGACACAATTATAGTGAAAAAAAATTGATTTACTGGTTATTTTGCTAGAGGCAAAGGCAGGCTTAAAGAGGGGAGGGATTACAGTCTTGATTTATGCAAATTAGAGTATACATGAGGTTGTATTCAGCAACACAATAGTTGATCAATGTAAGACATAATGTGCCTAGTGAGGAAAGTTAAGCCATTGGAATTAACTATGAGGCAAAGGGGCAGAACTACAAAGACAAGAGGTTGAAAGAATAGCAGTTCATACATATAATTTCTTCCTTTGTTTTCCCAGAATTCTGCTTACCTCTGAGCATTTCTTGGTCTTCTAAATATTATATGGCTGAACTGACAATTTAGTTTCCTTGGAAAGATGCATTTGAGTTAGGGGATTTTTGCTGTCCAAATCATCCTTCAGTAATTCTCCCAATTGTCAAATGAACTAATCTGTGACTGAGATCACATGTTACACAAATTCATGGTTTGGTTTACTAAATATATCATAATTGTATGGGATTGCATAAGCCATGAATCACTATATATAAACTATAATAGTTTGATATTTCTATAAGTAGATATCAATCTCCACAATCGCCAATTATGGCATTGGTCAATTGAAATTTTCACATAACACTTTTTAGTAAGAAAAAGTGTAGTCTAACCCTAACTCATCATATGCAGCATTTCTGACTCACAGTAAAGAAAATATCAGTCACTTCTGACATACTTTATAATGTGGAACTAAAGACCAGTTTTTAAGTTCACTCATGCTCTGCTATGGAAGGGTCTCTAATCCAGATTTTGTAAACCAACATACTTCTGCCCACATCCCACAAAGTAGGAGATATGTGCATTGTACCAAAACATATTCAGAATGGCTTTTTGGCCATGTGTGTATGTGTGTGTTCCTCTGTGTAAGCAATATATGTTGTTCATGAGAAGATCAACTATTTTAATACAGATATAGCAATAGCACTTAGACTTATATACTGCTTTATAGTGCTTTAACAACCCTCTCTAAGCGGTTTTACAAATCAGCTTATTGCCCCCAACAATCTGGGTCCTCATTTTACCCACCTTGGAAGGATGGGAGGCTGAGTCAACTTTGAACCTGGTTGGATTTGAACTGCCAAATTGCAGACAGCCAAAAGTCAGCAGAAGTGGCCTGCAGTACAGCACTCACTGAGGCTCTCAGTGTACTAAGGATTCGAAGGGGAAAAAAACCAAAACCCTGGTGTTTTTGTGATAGCAACCTATGGGTAAAAATCACAAACATAAACACACTAAATGTACCACAATGTCAGAACTTCTCTTCACAATTTATTTTCAATTACAAAGGATGTTGCATACATTGATGAGTTTGTATGTGAATAGAAATGCTTGGGCTCAAAGATGACAGAAAAAAAACAACCAATATTTTAATTGTGTCTTTTTTTAAAAAGGAAAAAATACACAACATTAAACATTATAAAAGTTGCAAACAGATCATGCTTTGAACAGGATATTTTTTTTCTAAACAGAGACAAGACCTTCAATACATATCTCTGAGCTCCAGCTGGAAATGGACCACAGAACATTTAACAGCATTACAAATATAATCCTGGTAGAGGAAGGTCACAATAGTTTTTAATGTACTATTTTTACCTTTCAAAAACTTTGCTGTGTTTGCATATACTAGCAGATTTGCTCCCCAATCTTAAACAGGTTTACAGAGGCATCCCATAATACAGTGAAACCTACTTCCAAATAAGAATGTTTAAGACTGCAGCCTTAATTCTTAATCAGATTTTCAGTATATTTCAGGAAGGACAACTTAATTTGTAGAATATACTACAGTAACCAATGCTAAATGTTATATTATTTTGCATCTGTGAGAACAGTATGCTCCAGCAGAAATTTCCATTCTTAGAAGCTAGAAATGATTTTTTAAAAAAGTTTTAAAGTTAGAAATAACTTCAGTCTTTCCATATTGAAACTTTAATTGCTAGCACACGTTTGAATCTGAACTTAAGACAGATCCAATGAAATCAATGGGAAATCAAAATAATGTTAATTTTAACTCTTAAGCAATAGATATTTAACTTATTTTATAGCTATTAAATTTTAAAATCATGTTTGAAAGAAATATATGTTTAATACATGAAAAATGCCAACAATACCTGGATGAACTAGATTAGAACCTTGATACCAAGAGGCAATTTACAGCATTGGGATGAGGTATGGCCTTTATACCACTGTAGTTCCTGATAAAATGGTAGACTAGATCAGTTTACCTAATATAACATTTTTTTTTCTTTTTTACTCAGATTTAATTTAGGCTCAAACTTTCTATTTTAGAAAAAAGTTAAGGCTACAGCCCTATATGCAACAGTGTAGTAAATTCCATGTAAAATGGGATATTTTTATGTATGTTTGCTTAGGATTAGGGAATGACCAGTATATTCTTACGGAAGTTCCTAACATCTTAAGAGGCTAAGCATTTCACTGCATGAACACTCTTATCACCCAAAATAATGGGGGGAAATTAAACAGTATACCTCTGAGATCCAATCAAGTTAGAATGCTTTGAAGGAAATATATGCTAAAGTGCCATTTGTCAAAGCATTCAGTTTACTCTGGAAATAACCTAAGTATTATGTAATGCCCTTACATGCCATGATTTATGAAAGAGATTGGATTAGTAATTGACTGAAATATAATTTGCTCACATAAAAACGAAATAAAAAGCTGGACACTGCATTTTAGTGCAGTTTTCAGTGATACAAAATGGAGCTTTCCATCTGATAGGAGACTAAAATACATGATTTTACACCTAAAGCCTTACTTTAAAAACAAAACAAAACAATGAGTAGACAGGAGTGAAATTCAGGCTTCAAAGCCCAAATGTGGCTTGTGACTGTGCCTCAACAGAATTCAACAGGAAGACTGGTAAACGTCAAGGAACCGACTAGCTATGCTATTTGTGCTGAAGGCAACTTGTAAGAAAACCCATGAAAAACAAGTAGGAGAATATTAATGCTTTAAAACTAGTCATATTTATAAGACTTATGTAAGAGAAACCATACATCAATTATTGACATTTGTGAATAAACAAGCAGATTTATTAACAAAGGCAAACATCAGAAAAGTGGTACAGACTTAAGTGAAACTCACACTGACAGTACGGTATTTGAGAAATGTCTGTTGCTTTTAAGTTTAAGAGACCTTTAATCTGTTATAGTTTTTGCTCTTTCTCCAGTACATTTCAACCTAAATTTAAAAATAAATTACCAACCAGACTACTGAAGTATGTATATCTTTGCCCAAGTCCTACAACAGTTTCACTGTTTGCACTGATGCCACAATAACATGAAAGGACCAGTCCTCAGCTAGTCAAAGGACTAGTACTAATGAGCCGCAGAAAATTAAATACCAAGATTTGTTCAATAAAAGAGGCAGAGAAGCTGTTGTTAAGAGATGTAGTGGAATTATTATAAAAACCTTATTTTCCAAGACCACTAAAAATGGGTCACCCCATGCCAGTACAAACTATTAATATAATTTTAAATCAGATCTATTTGAAGTTCCTTTATTATGCTTTAATTGTTGTTTGCTTCTAAAAGGGTTTAAGGAGTCCTGGGGAATGAAAAATAA